AGTATCTGACGAATGAGTTAACTTTAAATGTCATTAACATAACAAACAGGAAAATATAAATCTTTACAATATTTGAATAAGTTTTAAGTTACCTAACACATATACTCAGTCAGTTGGTTAGTGAAATTATATCTCGGGAAGTTTGGTTTGAGAACTATCAAGGCCCAGTCCTGTCAGTAAAACTACCACTCTGAACTATTTCAATCATTTCAGCGCTTTAACAAACTAATCGGGACTGTCATCACTTTTCTTTTCATGGAATCCCAATAGTGGCAGCTTCTCACTTTAATTTCGATTGAGATCGTGAATCGATCAATACTAGACCACCACTGAGTACCTAAGAGCATTGGACAGCCGTTTCGTCTTAGTACGCAACTCCTCAATAGGAATGAGCATACACAATCCCGTACGCAGGATTCAAACCCAGGACCTTAGGTATCGCGCGCGAACGCTTAACTCCTAGATCACTGAGCCGGCATCAAAGGTGTTAACGTCTGAATTCAATCAATCCACTTTACATCGAATATCTAATTGTAGGTCGATAAAACGTAAAGTACACTAAGATACTGGGAAAGTTTGTCCATTTAGTTCTATTGATAATTTTGAGTAAAGCAGAGTTCATAGATAGAAAGTTTTATAATTTATAAAACTGACTGACCTTCCTTTAGACAACTACTGGAAACGAAGAATCACTGGATAGCAGTTTTGTCTTAGTATAGAACTCAACTCTGTCTGAGGCCCTTCTAGGGTTACTACCGGTCCCAGGCGGAGGTAAAGCACGGGAGGTCGACAGAGTTACCGACACTACACCATAAGAAAGAACATTTCTAAAAATACGCTAACTAGGAAAAGTCATCATAAGCATACAAACTCCGCCATATGAATTCAAGGGGCCTTCATTTAGAACAGTTACGGTGCGTTATGATGAAATCCAAGACCCTTCAGAGGTCATGACGTCGATATCTCTTCTGACAATCAGCGCAAAAATTAATATAGGTACATGGAATTTCCGCACAATGTAGAAGACTGAGAGTGTCACTCAAGTAGACCCGGAAATGAGGTACAACCTGTTGGTGCTTAGAATAAGTGAAATTCATTGGGCGCAGTCTGGATGGAAAAGATTATATTCTGGAGAGATGCTATTGTATTCTGATTACTAAGAAGAAAATGGTCCCTGTACACAAGCCCCTAAATGCCGTGGAACGGCGGAAGGTGGGGAACGTTAGTGCTTCTTCTTGTAATGCTCTCACATGGCCACACGTATGCAGTCACTGTCACGGAAGTCCTACTTACTGTCTTCTCGTGGCAGGAATGCTATTTACGAAATTGAAAGGACAGAAAGCGAATATCCGGTGCTTTAACCAGGTTGGTGGATACAGAGGATCCACCTAGGGGAGCCGGAAATCGATTATTCCAAGCCTATGGTGCATATGGGCTCCAGGATCCTGGGGGAACAAATAGCGTATGAACCAATCGTTGGTCACAGGCTGCCATGGAACTGCATCTCTTGACGTTGCCCCACTGCCTTATGGGTTAGACCTCTAGATCAAGGGCTCGGGCTCGGGGTGTAGCTCCCTAAGAATTCCACCTACTTCGGTTTAGGCACCCGGGTAGTATTCCAGTCCTCACACAAGTCGAGTGATTTGTGTGGCACATATGTATTCGGTGCCCCTTTGTACCGATATTTATGTGTTTAAATAAATAAATAAGAGAGGGAAATATGTGGGAGTTATGTAAAACAACAAAGCTAGCAGGAAAATATAGTAAACCAGAGCGACCAGTCAAGAACAAAGAAGGCAAACCAACCACTGAAATTCAAGAACAAAGGAACAGGTGGGTACAGTACTTTGAAGAACTCTTGAACAGGCCAACCCCACTGGATCCACCGGACATCGAAGCAGCACCTACACGCCTTTCTACAAACGTCACCCCACGAACGATAGAGGAGATCAGGATGTCCATCGGACAAATCAAGAGTGGGAAGGCGGCAGGATCTAACAATACATCAGCCGAAGAACTGAAGCCTGACATAGAAGTAACTGTAAACATGTTCCACGTTTTATTCAGGAGGGTTTGGAAGGAGGAACAAGTGCCACTAGACTGGAAATAGGGGTAACTCACCTAGGTACTAAGAGATCTTGGTAATTGTGGGGACTACAGAAGTATCCCACTACTGTCACTGCCAGACAATGTTTTAAACAGTTACCCGATCGAATAAAATTCAGTAGACGGACAATATCTTGATCAACAGGCTGGATTCCGTAAGTATCGATCGCGTACCAACGAAATTGCGACACTAAGGATTATTGTTAAACAAACAATTTAGTGAAACGAACCGTTATACATTAACTTGCTCAGTTATGAGAAAGCATTCAGCAATGTGGATAGAAAACCTTATGGAATCATCTTCGACACCAAAAAGTACCTGGGAAGACCACCACAAACATTCGGAGCTCATAAAAGGAGTTGAATCGCAAAATTGTGCATGGAGGAAAGCTCACAAATGCACTTCAAGTGAAGAATGATGTTAGACAAGGCCGCCTACTCCCATCCTTTCTTTTTCTTCTGGTTGTTGACTGGATTATGAAAACCTCCAAACTTAAGGAGAAACATGGAATACAGTGGACACCTTGGACACAACTAGATGATTTGAACTTTACAAATGAATTAAACCTATCCCATACACAGCAGGAAATGCATTCGATAACACCCAGTGTGGCATTGGCCTCCGCAGAGATAGGCTTTAACACTCACAAGCGAACGTTTAAGGTCCTGAAATACAACACAATGGACACCAACCAAATCACACTTTATAGCGAAGCTCTGGAAGAAGTGAGATCTCTTACGTACCTAAACAGTATCATTGATGAACAAGGAGGATTTAATCCAGGCGTCAAAGAATGAATTGCCAAATGGGAACATTCGTACAACTGAAGAATATCTCGAACTTAAAATAACTTTTTATCAACCAAGACCAAGTTCGAAATTTTCAAAATAAATGTTAAGACTGCTCTACTATACGGAGCTTGAACTTAAAGTACTACTAAAACCATCATCAAAAAGGTACAGGTATTTATAAACAGTTGTCTACGTAAGATACTCCAGATTAATTTGACAGACGCCGACAGCAATAATCTACTCTTGCAGAGAACAAACCAGCTACCAACTGAAGAGGAGATCAGAAAAAGATGCTGAAGGTGAATAGGGCACAAATTGTGGGAATCATAAAACTAACACAAACCAAGCCCTAACTTGAAATCCTCAAGGTGAAAAGAATAGAGACAGATCAAAGAACACATCTGGCCGGAAATCGGAGGAAGACATCAACAGAATGAGTAGCACTTGGCAACAAACGAAAAGGAGAACTTGGAAAAAAGTTGATCGGAGGGTCCTGGTCTGCCGCCTATATCCCAAGAGGAGTAACAGACCTAAGTATGAGACTCCACAGCAGCATGCACTTGTGACTCTACTATCCATCGAACATGTGACCTTTATGTCTCTCACTGAGCACTTAATCGTTACACATCTAATCGTTAACATCTAGTGATTTACATACATAAATTCAACCAGTTTGAGACATTGGTCTACCACTAGTGCTATTGGCAAGTAACTTGCTCTACACTAACTTGGTTAAACTCGACTGATCACGACTTTTGACAAGAACTCAGGGAATCACCTCGCGAAACTAGTCTATAGTGAGCACGTCATGTGCCTGTACTACGAAGAATAAAGTTTGGATTCGGGTGGAGAAAAACAAACGTAAGCACAACTAATCGACTTTTCTTAATTGTATTCGGAATGTGACCAGCAATCGAATACAGGAAGCGCATTTCGTCTACTGTCAGCCATAATCCACATATACTAGAAAAATTAGCATCGAGGCATCCACTCACGATGTCAAAGACTGACTATATTTCAATACTGAATACCAACAACGTGATCCACAAACCCTTATGAATTATCATTTGTCGATAGGTTACTGATATGAATAATAACGAACTACACCTGTTTTCCAAATATGGTATGGAAATTCTGATCTAACAGAATGAAATTTAGTCGGATAAAATAAATGACCTTGACGATGCTGATAAACAAACGCCTAAGACATTTTGAATAGTGATTGGTAAATCCTAGGTATTTTCACACATGATAGCACGTTATTCAGTAGTTAGAAATAGTCGATAGGATACCCTGCTTGACCCATGTTGCGCTGGCTGACAATTATCAATAAAGCGTAACTGTAATCTCAAGGGAAATGGTGCTCCGTGTAGGATTCAAAACAGTGTCACTCAGTTTTGCAGTATAAGACGTTATCACTGAACTATCTTGGCCGGGACTGACCCCTGTATGGCTGAGATATTCGCAAGTGATTAATCAATGAGTAGTAACCAATATCACGTTTATCTAGTCCTTTAAGTGCTGATCGAATTCAATCGATTAAGTTTCAATGTGCCCACTACTCTAAGTGCCTTAGTATCGCGCCTATTATGTCGAGATATCAGGTGATGGTGGTAGTAGTAAACAAAATAAATTAATACTCAATAAATAAATTTATAATATATTCCAAGGTAAATTATCTTTGCTAAATATAAATTCTAACTGTTTCTATGCTTACGAATAGATGGTATCGTAAAATTTATTACAAAAAGAAACTAAAAAACAAATCTAATCCACTTACACTACAATATAATCGATATAATGGAACAGTACCATATCCGACACCAGCCATAAATATACCAAACGATAATGTATAGTATAAGTACGTGCGTTTTTTGAAAGTATCACGAGTAATGAATGGACTACTTTTATTGATCGTACTATAATTTACTGTTAACTTTGAGAATGGACATCTTAAAAGATGATTTGAACTCTTGGAAAAACTAAATGACGATAGCAACACCATTATGAAATTGACAATCTATTGTGAATTAAGTTTATAGATTTCAATTTTGTTCTTATTCGAAAAATATTGCTGTTTTTATTTATAGTGATAATCACTTTTAAACTAGAAACTATGTTGTCAGAAAAAAAAAACAGGAGAATACAACAAAAAAGAGAGATCAAATAAAAACTCTACAAATTACAGTAAAACATAAATCAAATGAAATAATGCAGGAAAAGACATACAAGGAAAGATTATACACTATAAATGACGATGATGAAAAGATATGTAAATCAATTAATACATTCACCAGGTACTTGAGTATGAGCTACAACTTAAGTGTGATCACGGCTAATGATCCTACCCAGCTGCTCAAACTGAAGTAGGTGGGACGAGATTCGGACCTAGAACTTAATGACTGAAAGTTGAACCCTTTAAATATTAAGTCACCGCTCTACTTAAGTGATTATACAGATGTTTCATAAGTTATATTCATACACAACTCTGTACTTAATGCTTGCTTTCAAAGATAACAAGGAAAGTCAAAACAAATTGCAATCAGATATATTAAAACGAATTTCAGGACTACGGTGGTTGAAAGTAGTGTTATTCTTAAATCCTCTAATACGGCCAAGGGTGGACAATATTCGGTCACCCACTTGAAATGCTCTCAAACAACCGCGCGATTACAGCCCCAGCTAGGCAAGTCCTATTCACTAGCTTTACATGGAGAGGTTGTTGTTCTCACAGAAGCGAGAAGACGAAAAACGAACGTCCGGAGCTTGAATTGGATTAGTGAATACGGAGAATTTATATAGGGGAGCTGTAAAACCTTGATTCCAAACTAGTGATTTGCATGGGGTCCAATTTCCTGAGGGAATAGCTGGTCACCAACTACCATGGTACAGCATCTCCTGATGTCGTTTCACTGAATGGTAGATTAAACCTCTGGGTTAAAGACCTGGGCAGTATTTTATTAAAAAAACAATCTTCTAAGGTCTGAAAGCCCGTGCAGTATCCCAATCCACTTATTCATTTATTTATTCACTATATATCTAAACACAAAAATTGGTACAAAAGGGCACCGAATATAGATGCGCCACACAAATCACTCGACTTGTGTGAGGACTGGAATACTACCCGGGTGCCTAAACCGAAGTAGGTGGAATTCTTAGGGAGCTACACCCCGAGCCCGAGCCCTTGATCTAGAGGTCTAACCCATAAGGCAGTGGGGCAACGTCAAGAGATGCAGTTCCATGGCAGCCTGTGACCAACGATTGGTTCATACGCTATTTGTTCCCCAGGATCCTGGAGCCCATATGCACCATAGGCTTGGAATAATCGATTTCCGGCTCCCCTAGGTGGATCCTCTGTATCCACCAACCTGGTTAAAGCACCGGATATTCGCTTTCTGTCCTTTCAATTTCGTAAATAGCATTCCTGCCACGAGAAGACAGTAAGTAGGACTTCCGTGACAGTGACTGTATACACGTGGCCATATGAGGTCATTTCGAGAGGAAGAGCGGACTATCCCTAACCTGGACCGCACCAGGGCATTTGGGAACAACTAAAAATCTCAAGGAAAATTGGTTAGAAAGGATTATTTTGATTGAAGAATTGGCTTATAAACGCCTATGTTAACTTGATAAGTATCGCATAGTTCTTTCGATGGTTAGGTTATAACTAACATCACTATCATCATCAATTGTAAACAAAACCATCCAAAAAGAGGAAGAATGTATTTGTAAAATCTCAGCGAAAGAATTTGAAGTAAATCCAACGTTTCGCCTCGGCACCCAAATATTGTGAAACTATTCGTCCAAATTCAGACGAAAGTTGTTATTTAATATCATCTAAGGGAGTTAGTTTGCTTTGTTTACCAGTTATACCTTGATTGAAATAATTTTTAAATAGAGAATCATACTAAGACACAAATGCACCCTTATATTTAAATTGAATTATGTTTCATTGTTAAAATGTTACAAATGATTGGAAAAGTTAGTGTTAACCTTTGAAAAGTAAATTCACCAAACATGTATCACTGGATAACCAGAAACACCAAAACTACAGGCGTCGTAAATCATTTATAACTAAAATAGTCTAAAGACAAAACAAATAGAACACAGAAACAAGTACTCACCCTTTTATCACAGTTATAAACATTCTGTCGATCTGGAGCTAATGTTTAACTACTTAACCTTAAGCCGAAACAATGCTGATGCAATAGTGTGAAGTTCGATGAAGGGAAAAGCCGTTCCTTCTTCAGACTGATAACTGGTACTTAATAACAGATTGTATATGCAGTTTAGCTCGGTTTGACTACCTTTCAATACAAATCTATTCAGAAACAACAGATGAACGTACGTAAAACTCAATGGAAGTAAGAAACAAATGAGCATATGTGGATTTATTAAATTAAAAACAATGTCTCGATATCTTGATTTTTATGAATCCTAATTGCATTGAAATGACTTCAACAGAATAGCACTCACCAATTTTTAATCAACAACTTATTATATGAAGCCAATTTACAAAGGTTGTAAGGTGAGGATGACATAATCAAAAAGATAGCTGATTGATTGGATAATATCTTTGGTGTTTTGTATAACAGAGACTTAGATATAAAACGCAATGGTTAAAAGTTAGATGATGAGAACTCTTATCTAAGGCTCTATTTCCAACTACAAACTAATGTGACAACCTGGGTTAACAAATACGTAATTTTCCCAAGTTCTATGTTAATCCAATCTGATATCTACGATGGGATATTATAGATATAAGTAGGAGTGATAATTTAGAAAATAGTGCAGTCAGACCGAGAAATAACTCAAAACCAATTCATTAAGTGTTAGTTCAAGTTGTATTTGAAACTGAACCTTTAGATTGAAGTCTGGAACAGTAAAAACAAGACACAATTAAATTCAATGACGCAGATACATTTATTTCCCGCACTTTATAAGTCTATAATACGTTTCAAAACTGTTTGGTTCTTTTCTGTTCATATTCTTCTTATCATAGTGAATTCAGATCTGAGATTCGTATTTTGAAACAAAAAACTCCGCTTCAAAACTGTTTTACATTGACATATTTCTCATGCTAATGGCACCTGTCACGTAACTATTCGGGAACACGAACTTCCAGAGTATTCACAATACCTTGTCAAGAGAGAATCGGAGCACAGATATGTCAGTCTAGTAGAGGCATTTTGCGATGCAACGGTGCAAAATACACCACATTTGCGGATGATAATTGACAAATAGTCAAACGTCGTCTGGGTAACCTGTATTTAATGGGAGTGAAAAGGTATTATTTTAAATATTTAAGGTCAGAATCTTTCTTTAGACAACCGATTGAAATCACAAATGCATATCCTTTTTTAAATTTCTCTTTAGATTTTCACCGATCGCAAAATTAAATAGGGACGGTGAGGATAACCAACCTTGTCTAACTTCACTGTTGCCTCAGAACAATAAAAGAAGTGGTTGCATGTCCTCGCTTTAAAAACCAAGTCCTTATATGACAAACTATCCCTGAGTAGTCCTGTTTAATTAACTCAGGACCGCCTCATTTCAAGAAATACGATTGTTGGTCTTTAATACGCGTGTCGTGACTAATAGATTCATGACCCTAACAAAACTGGGCCTACATCTCCAGAGTTACTTCTACACGTTTTGTATAATATGTACAGAGCAGTAAAAAATGACATTTAAGATGTAACTGGTAGCACTCTTGTATCCGATGGGTATGATAATTCCTGTATTCAAAACTGCATACCTCTGCAAACAATCAATTCAGTTACCTGACCAGAACATAGTCCCTACATTTTTAAACGTATGGTAGTAGTCATCTGACCAGTGTTTTAGTAGTTGGAGTTATTTCTGAATGACTGCGTTGTTAGGTGACTGGTGCTCACTAAACAAGAGCCACAGTACGGTTTGGCTGAAGTTGCTAGGTTAGTGCTTTGAAAGTTTCACTATTATTAGACGTAAAAGCAAAAAGTTACGAGGTAGTTCTTTATGTATATAAATATCTTAATACACTTGCGGCAGTAGGCTTTGTCGCTTTGTAGATGAATACATCACAGCAACTTTAAGGTTATATTCAGATCACCGTTTTCATTGCTGACTTTTAGCACAACAACCACTCCCTTTGATTCGGTCACCTAAAGGACAATCAAGTTTTATTTATAAGACTATTTCCCAATGGTTCGATGACGGTAAGTTCCTCCTTCTTACAGATCTTAATATCACTTTTAAAAATCTATGAGTGATAGTCGGCATTGTTGTCAATCCTTTTATTGAGTCCATTTAAATATTCGTGTGTAAACCCTGAGAGTTATCCACTAAACGCTCTTGATAGAAACACTAACTTGTTTTAAGCTACGCTAATACTAAATCTACAATTTATTCATCTAACTTTCAAATCAGTGTGTGACCTATTTCTACCCCAATATTTGCACCAATAGAATGAAATATAACTTTTTGTGAGTTAAGAGTGCTTTTTACGGAGGCTAATGAGGTCGCAATGATATTTACATCTCTTTGATGAAAAAGAGAAACACAATTTTCAACTTGTTTTGAATGACTATTTTCGCCAATTGACTCCTAAAGTCAAATAATGACGTGTTTATATATACTCAAACCGGCTTGACTTTTAAATCAATCTAATTCAAGAGTGGTGAGAAGGTTTGGAAAAATTTATTTGAACTATCAGTTTTTTCCGTTTTATTTCATTGCCTATGTACATACATCGCGTAGTACTACTGATCACAAATATTAAACTGCATTCTTAGTGCAACTATGAAGACATGGATAAATCGCTCATACAGATGAGCAGAATGAACCTTTACACAAGCGACAAAACTGAAAACTGTAGACTTGAGAATTAAGCACAATGTGGGAAAACGATAATAAAAAAGATCTTCAAAAGGTTATTAAAAAACTAAGGACACCAAAACCAAGAATTGCTAATATAGCTTACTTTAACCAAAGTTAAACTACGCTGAACCCCACCAAATAAACTTTTAACACAAGTATACAAAAATCAACTTTTCCAAACAATAATCAGTTCTCATTTAAGACCTTTAATTCTTCACAGCGATTTCATTTTTGGTATTTCAGAATACGGAGTGACAAGAAATATTTCTCCAATCTCATGACCTCCTGCTTACTAACTGAATACTGAACAACACTATATTACGCAGGAAACTTTTATAATCCTATTACTCTTCACAGTAATGAAACTAAACTATTTAAATATCATTATCATACACTTGGGAGTATTTTGCAAGAAATATTACACCGCACAAAGATAACTAGGAAAGTTTAGATAGCGTGGTTAGTAATTCGTTTAACAAAGTGCTTTAATTCGCTAAACCTAACATTTGAATTGTATTGACGATCTTAACAATAACTGTGGAGTAGCTCTATTAAATAACGTAGACTTAAAATGTGGGGACAACATGCGGACTTTCCAACAATGTTATGTACTGAGCTGGGTTCAATAGTGATTAAAAACTTAGGTGCTATTTTCGCTTGTTATTTACCGAGATACCAATGCTTTAAAAACAGAAGAATGTTTTGTACACATAATTTTATTCAAGTGAAAAACTCAGACGATTTAAAGACATGAGTTGGTGACCATATAGGTAGCTTGGTTGGAGATTCTTTCTTTCGAACATATCTAAAACAGCCGATGGTACTGCGTTAAAGTCGGATGCCTTATCGCTCGATGCAAAGGTCAGCAGTCAGCTGACAAACTGTTGACATCGATTCTGGGCTTGTAGGCATCGTCTAGGAGTCCTTATAAAGTTGTTGCTTCCAATGGATGAGAACCGTATCTCGGAAGCCTTTTCGGTTAAACTCTCCAATAAACTGGTGCGTCTCTTTACTTTATTTGCATCAGACACATGCGTTACGTAGTTCAAGAACTGGTCCTTTAAGAGTTCGGGAAGCCCTTCGACTGCGTAGAATCTCTCATCAATATTTTTTTGTATTTCAGCAATACAAGATTTTTGGGCTTCAATTTGATTTGACGCGTAACGCTTAAGAGCCTTTAGGTTAGGTCGAACTCCTGAACGACGCAATGACTTTACATGAAACTTCGGATAGATGTTAGTTTGAACACATAAATTTAAAAATTCCACAGTTCCTTCTGCTTGCCCGAGTCTAACACTATATTCTAAATATTTGTTCAGAACCCTAACTACATTTCTATCTTCAGAAGATTTCAACTGACTGAAAATTGCCATTCCAAGTATAAAAGTAAGAAACGTTTGCCTAAAGTGTCTGGATTAAACTAAAAATATTTTGTATGCTTCAAATTAACAGAAAAGCAACTCAGTGTTTAGCACCTTGAAACGGAAATCCGAGTACTCACATGGCTAAAGAACCGACCTTGAGTTTGACCACCGCTCAGGTCAATTTCTCTCCAAAGTCAACAACATTATTAACAACCTAATTTCATCCAAATGTAAACAAAAATAAAATAAGCATTTTCTAACTTCGCATTTTCATTTCTCGATATAGCTCAGTTGCTGTTGCCGTCCTCCATGACATTTAAATGCACAATATGTTTAAATTGTTTGAATGGTTCTGAACGGAAAAGAAGAAACCTCTGCTTAACGAGCTTCTGTGTCTGGTGGTATCGAGCCACTGGCGCCTTCGTGTGGGAACCTATGTATATTCCACGATAAAAGAAAAAAATATCGTTAAATCATTGTGAGATACTATCCTTAGTCCTTAAGAATATGTCAAGTTTACTCTCAAAGGTCTCCTAAGAAGTCTCTTGGACGAGCTCAGCAGGTGGCGAATTCCAAAATTTGGCTACTCGTAAAGAGTGTTAGGTTTACCTGCCGTCCGTCCTGCTATGTTGCGTCTCCACTTTCTGGTCACCTCTGAGATGTATATACTTCAATGGGTAAATATCCGGTGTTTCAATGCGCTCTACATAAGATTTGAATCTCATTCTTCAACATGTCTCAGGTGGGCTACTTTACGCTTTGAAGTGTTAAAAGTGAGATGGTTGTTGTCCGTGTTGTGACTTTAAGCTCGGCTAATTATCGTGTGATTTATTCGCCAATCGAAATGCGACGTATTCAATCTTGGTACTATGCCAAACTAATGACGTTCGACCGGTATGAACCACCTAGCGTCCTTATTAATCCTTTGTTCGCCCAGCCATGTCAGTTGAGTCCAGAACGCAAACAACAGCTTCCACTATACGGATCATTTATTTAAAACATACTTGGTTTATATACCAGCCGAACAGACCGTATCACACCACAAGTTAGAAAATAACATCCATACAAAATCAAGCCAAAAAGTTGCTGTGAACGTGGGAGACTGTAATCAATAAACTGGGCATAACTGAAGAAAGGTAAATAGTACAATAAAAATTTATTGGTCAAAATGAAGTTTATAATAAAAGGAATATAGATATACACAATCTAATCATTAAGTAGTTATACAATAAGAATATGCATATCATTTTAGTCGATCAATAGTCCTCAGAAGCTACCCGTAATTTAATCTTCACCAGGATATAATAGTCCACCCAACTTTGAAGTTGAGTCAGATGTTCCTGAAGTCCCAGCTTATCATCTAGATTGCAGATCTATTCCCAGAGTTTCACATCACCAGTGAGAAGTAATAAATCTGACGTTACCTGCTGTGGAAGAACGTTTATATAAATTCAGAAAAGAAGTCCTAGAACTGAACCCTGGAAGACCGGCAAAATCTAACGACTGGTTTCATGAACCGGTTTTAAACTCACAGGAGGCAAACAGAAAATTTATCACCACATATGGTAAACGATACGTCTATCTTAATGTGGATTTAAACAAACCCACTCGCCGGATTTTTATTGCTGCAGATGTTTTCATACCAATCATCGTTACAGACCTGCTACAACGTCATAATTTACTAATCGACGCGCGCAAACGGGGGTTAGTAGACGAAAATACTAATTTGTCTGTTTGTGATCAGTCATAATGATGAAATCACGACCCTGTAGCAAAATGTTGAAATGTTTTACTGCTAAATACATAGCTAAGAGTTCGCGTCCAAAAGTACTATAACGTTCCTGGGCTGATGACAGTCTTTTTGAGAAAAACGCTATGGGAGTAGTCATGTTGTTTACCTGTTGTTGTAATACTGCCCCGACGGCTTTTTGAGATTCATCCGTACACAAAATTAAGTGTGTTGTGGGGTCAGTATTTAGATGTTGTAGCATGGTGGCATTAGCTATCATCGACTTTGCTTTTTCAGATGCTGTTTTGGCGTCAAGAGATAGGTTGAATGTTTGATTCTTCTCTCTCTTCGTACCTTTTTTGTCGGCTTTCAGCAGATCGGTTAATGGCTGTAATACTTCAGCACAACGTGGTAAGAAGCGGCGATAAAAATTACACATACCGAGGAAGCGTCGTAATGACTTCACCGAGGTTGGTTCGGGGTAGTTAGTAATATCTTCAACTTTCGTCTGAAGTGGTTTGATCCCTTGTGAGTCGATGTAATGTCCCAAAAACTCTAAGGCTGGGACTGCGAATATGCATTTCGAAGGATTGATGATAACACCATGTTTTTTAAAACGATCAAAAAGGATGTGGACATGTTGGATGTGCTCTTCTAAAGATGAGCTTGCAATCAGAACATCGTCGATGTAAGCAAACACGAAATCAAGGCCTCTTGTTACGTCATCCATGAAGCGTTGGAATGTCTGCGCAGCGTTTTTCAGTCCGAACGGCATCCTTAGAAACTCAAACAAACCAAAAGGTGTTATTATGGCTGTTTTCTCAATGTCTTCCGGTGCCATTGGAATTTGGTGATATGCTCGCACCAGGTCGAGCTTCGAAAAAATGCATTTACCGTGTAGGTTTAATGAAAAATCGTGTATATGCGGAATTGGGTACTTGTCGGGAATGGTTTGATTATTTAATCGTCGATAGTCACCACACGGACGCCAATCTTGGTCCTTCTTTGGTACCATGTGTAACGGCGAGGCCCAGGGCTGCTGGATGGTCTGATAATACCAAGTTGCATCATATGTTCGAATTCTCTTTTAGCTACTTGCAACTTGCTTGGCGGTAGTCTCCTCGCCCTGGCGCTAATAGGTGGACCGGTGGTAATGATGTGGTGTTGCACCTGATGTGGATTACATTCCTTTTGATAATCTGATTTCGTGATGCATTCGTATTCTGACAGAATGTCGTTGAAAACGTTGTTCGTAGGTTTCATTATCCGTACACCATGGATTTCATAGTCGTTGGAAGGTGTACCATCTACCTGTAAACGTGTATTTGCGTCGATTAATCTCTTCTTGGTCATATCTACTAACAAATTGTAGGCACTGAGGAAATCAGCTTCGAGGATGGGTCGTTTGACTTGGGCAACTATGAAAACCCATGTAAATCTTCTGCGGAGCCCGAGGTCTAATATAAGAGATTGCTCTCCATAAGTTTTGATAACTGATTCGTTAGCCGCTATTAGGGACAGTTTAGTGCTTGTTGTCTGTTGTCTGCGGGAGAGATGGAGTGGGATGATGCTGATTTCTGCTCCAGTATCGACTAAAAAATCCGAGCCAGAAATGCGATCCCTGATGTGAAAAAGGCGGCTAACTTGGTGGCCAGTAACAGACGCCGCCATTACTGTCTGGCCGGCTCGTTTCCCTGATAATCTGGCTTGTTTGTCGTAAAGTTGCACGGTTTAGTGCAACGACGTGCTTTTTCTCCATAATTCGAGTGATACCAACAAATGTCAGCTGCCCGTCTAGATGACCTAGTGCGAGGTCCGGACCTTGATCGCTTTCTCGAGATCGATCTGGCAGGACGAGAGTGGATCGTGGCAACGGTCGCCTGCAACGATGCTACTTGCTGAGTTAAGTGTGCTATTTGCTGCTGAATGTCCAGAGGGGGGTTCATAGCATCTCTACTAGAGGTTTGTTTCGCGTTGATCCCGTGACTATCGGGATATATTTCCATCATCTTATCAGCCATGTCAGCTAAGTCGTCGAGGATGACAGCGGTTCAAGTAAGCGGTTGCTTCGTGTTTCAGTTTGATGATTCCTGTGATATGTGTCTGTAGAATTATGGTACTGCTCCAATAATAGACGTAATCCTAAAATTATAGATTTGTCATGATATAACTGCCTAATCTATAAGATCTTACGTGGAAGCCACACCATCGACTACACCAACTCACTGTATCGTATCAATTACCAATACATGATGTAGAACAAGGTTAGGCTAGAGAAGGAACAATATATTTAATATGAATAGAAGATATAAGGTAACATTCAGCAGGGACCACGCCCGCATGGTCGAGCCATGCCATCCGATCAACTACAGTCCATTCAATTCATTCTTCCCGCCTCTCCATCGTTAGGTATTTCTCCGCGTTAAATATTGAATATCTATTTTCTGAGTAGTCTTGTGTTCAGCTTTGTGAATTGTGTGGTTATTGTCCGATGCCAATACATGTCCTATCCACTTCCAACGTCTTTTCCCAATTTCCTCTTTATCTGGAAGCTGGTTTGTTCTCTCCCACAGTAGGTTGTTGCTGACGGTGTCCGGCCAATGGCTATTCAGTATCTTGCGTAGACAAATGTTTATAAATACTTGTAAATTTTTTACTATAGTTGCGTTGTTCCCGAAGTTTCAGTTCCGTACAGTAGAACTGTCTTGAATTTCGTATTTAGAGTCCTGACTTTGATATTTGTCGACAGTTGTTTCAAGTTATATATGTTGTTAAACTGTAGGAATCCTGTCTTTACTTTGTTAATCCTTGCCTTTACATCTTCATTGGATACTCCTTGTTCATCAATGATCCTGATCACGTGCGGCAAATTTTTCATTTGTACCAGTTTCTCTATCGAGTATGATTAGGTTGGTGTTCTCCATGTTGTATCTGAGGATCCTACCTTTTACATTGTGTGTGTTGAGGCCCATTGATTTAAAGGCTGGTCTACACTAGTCGTCTTCAAGTGTATTTGTTCGTGTGTATGGCAAAGAAGAGCTAGGTCACCTGCCAAGTCCAAATCGTCCAGCTGCATCCGAGCTGTCTGTTGTATTCCATGCTTCCCATCAGATGTGGAGATCTTCATGATCCAATCACCCATCAGAATAAAGAGGAAGTGAGAGAGTATGCAGTCTTTTATAACTCCGGTCCTTACTTGGAATGCATAGGCCAGCTGTCCTCCATGCACGGATTTGCAGTGTAGTCCCTCGCATGAGTTCCGGATGATTTCGATGGTTCTCTCAGGTACTCCGTAGTGTTAAAGAAGTTTCCACAATGTTCGCCTGTCCTCACCGTCAAACGCCTTTTCATAGTCAATGAAGTTGATGTGTGGTGACGAGTTCCACTCAACTGATCCTTATCGTCGTGATTTGGTCTGTGCACGAAGAACCCAGATGGAGGAAACCAATTTGTTGTTTGGTAAAAAACTACGGATTGCTTTTCATGAAACGTGAAAATTATCCATAAAATACGTCATTTTCACATCTTCGTTTACATACTTCATCGTTCTGTCATTTCTGCTGTTGTTTTGAGTACTTTCAGTTTGC